AGAGAGAGAGAGAGAGAGAGAGAGACACAGAGAGAGAGAGAGAGAAATGCAGAGGGTGGAGTGAAGTATCGCTGCTATCTGCAACTATATATTTTTGTAATTTCAAAACACACCGCTATTTTTGTAACAGTAGTAGGCCCTAGTTGTTGTTGTTGTTGCAGTTAGTTGTTGTAGCAGTAGCAGTAGTAGCATTTGTAGTAGTAAAAGTTGATCTAGTTGTAGTAGAGTAGTTGTAATAGCAGCAGCAACATCTCACATTTGCGTGTTGGATTACATGTACGATCAATTCGAATTTTTGGTTTTTGTTCACGCTGTCCTAAGATTAAAAATTTATATAGACCTCTCTCTCTATATATATATATATTTATAAAAAATTTTTTTGTTTGTTTTGTTTTTGGGGGGGAGATGGCAATTACCATGCACTGCACAGGCTTACCTAGGAAAGCTATCTTATATCTCAAAATTGTGCAGGTGTAAAATAAAAAATGTGTTCAGATTGGAGGACTATGACCAATTCTTTTGGGTTAAAATATGGTAATTTTGAACACTGGAGGATGCACCAGATATGATGTTTGTTCTGCTCTTCTTTGAACTTCTTCATTTTATGCAAAAGAGCTTTTATTTCCATTAAATTTGATTTTGATGTACGTTTCTAAATGACTAAATGTGTATCTCAATCAATTACAGGTGAATTTTTGTGACATTCTGAAGGGGATGAAATTTTGTGATTTTTGCCTCCCGTTAGCAAAAGTGTGGACTTGGCTTATACTTCCAGGTTATTTTTGAGGCCATATATTTCGTTCATTTTTAATTGTCAGATCTATGAAAAAAATTGAGCTTAGTAATACATTGTACAGGAATCAGTGACTCTTGACAGCACAATTTTGGTTTGTGTAGCAAAGTCGGTTTGTTATGCGGGGGCTGTCTCTGAACATCGAGTTTTTCATATTTCTCTATGCGTGCAAAAATATCTTAAACTTAAACATGCATTCATAATTTCCTTAAAAGTTAAATACCATCTCATTGCAATAAATTTGGTATCAAAATGCTTGGAATGAAAAGTTCCTTTTGATATGTGGATTCATTTTTCACTTAAATCAAAGATAATGAAGATTTTCCGTGTTGGGTACTTTCTCGTAATGACACTCACGTTGTTTTATGTTTTGGTAGAGGTTTTACGGCGCTCGCAACTGCATAAGGTCATATGAGCGCCAGAAGATTAGAGGTGTTACAAGAGAGTAACAAACATAAAAAAGAGGAGAGGAGATAAGGACGATAGATGTTTGATATAGGAAAGAAGAAGCAAACCACATCAGAGCACCCGCCAACCACACACTAATGACGCTCATTTGTGTTGCAAGTGCTGTAAAACTCTTACAAAAACTAAAAAAAAGAGAGGACAAGCAAATCTAAAAACAACAAAACAACTTAGGAGATTACAGAAGGGATCAAGCCAATATTTTTAATTTATTATTCAAATATCAAAATAAAACCCAACGTGACACACACAACAATGTAGTCCTGGCTTGCCCTCTCTCACGCATCATGTGGCATATACACCCCACAAACCCACACACACAAACAAACCTTCCACACACACACACACAGGCACCTCACTAAACATCATCAGCACCTTCTAACAACACACACACTCACACAGACAGACAGATGTGGGCACAGCTGATTCATTGTATATTTGTTTTCACCCCCCCCCCCACCAACATGGTTCAGACCATTCCGGATGACAAGACACCTGCAGACAGAGGTTGAATTTTGTTTGCATATCCAGGAATGTTCCCTTTCCACACACCCCTCCCTCCAACGTAAGGACAGGGATAACCTAGACTGAAAACACCTACTTAATTTATATATATAGATTCATCTTATAAATACAAGATCTAGTTGAAACTTCTTCAGATCCACAGGCTTGTGCACAGGTCTTACACGAAAAAAACCCCCAAAACCCTCAACTTATTTCACTTACGGGCGTTCTCTCCAAATTCTTCTGAAAAGAAAAAAAAAAACCCATCTCAACTCATCAAACATGAGTTTAGAAAAAAGTCTGATGTAAACAAATACATAAAAACCATGTATGTTCTAAATGTAGCGGCAGCGACATGAACGATGAAACAGCGAATGAGCGAACATACACATACACACAAGTGAAAAAAAAATTAAAAAATTCTCACACACTCTCTCACTCCAACAGACGTCCGTTCCTTTTTTCCTTTTTTGTGTTTATGTTTCAGTGATCCCAACACATGACCCTTTCACTCTTCAACATTCTCCCACTCACTAACGTAGCGCACTTGGAAAAAAAGAAAGAAAAGAAGGCAAAGAGAGAGACGCTCTTTGTTGAAGTAAAAGTAAACCACACTAATTACGATAAACAACAACAAAGATTAAGATTCTGCGTCGTAGTCCGGATTCTTCCTCAGGATGACAAAACCTTCCATGATGGGGGTCAGGGGGAGGACTGGGAGAAGCGTTAAGGGAAAAAAGATGTTCAAAATGAAAACAAAATTGTATAGTTTTAACTGTAACAACATCCCAGCAGCAAGACAGAGATACTCTACAAAAATCCACGTGTGACAGCCA